TTTCAAGAGGCAGGTTAACTCAGTAATTTTGATTTATGCCAAGCTACAGTGTGGACTAGACACTCACAGTCCTTTCCCTTGCTTTTATAAGATGCCCACTTTGATCAAAAGTACACAAAAATAAAAGCCAAAGCACAACCAGTTTCTCATTCATGTGATAAGACAACAGAGCTAGACGAAGTTCAAGTTTGTAATTCTGCCCGTTTGTCTTTCTTTTGACCCCAGCAAGCCAGTTTTTAGAAATATCTTTTAAAAATTCTTTGAGATTATAGGTCAATTTCATCAAGTCTTAAAAGTTACAAGAACAGTGTCATAGGTGAAAGTTTTATTTTGTACAGAAGAATGTTATTAGCTGTGTGTTTTACATGTGGGAGATAAATGGTAAGAACTGTATTTCTCTCTGGAAATTATACCAGGCACACTCATGTTAAAAGTGTGGCATTCATATCAAAACAATATGTTTTTTCCTTATTCAAAAATTGAATTTCATGTAGAAAACATGGATGGTGTAGAAAAGAGAAGAAAACATTTAAATGAATCTGCCATTTCAGTTCATCTGATACCTGGTGTCAGTCTTCCCCCGAAGTCTAGAAGCTTCCTGTGGAAAACCCACCTGAATACTGACAGTAACCCTGTCTGCATGGCGGAAGCACCCAGCCTTTGTACCCCCGAGGCTTCCCTCTTCTTTCTGCAATTTTACACGTGCTTCCATGTGTCCCGGCACGCGCCACAGGGTGATACTGATCTTCTCTGGGGTCCCTGGAGGCCTCTTTATGATCCTCCCAGCACCAATGTCTTTGATGTGCACCGCGATTTGTACCCATGCTGGAAAATCTCCCCACATGGATTCCATAATGCTACCTCCAATTAGTTTCGCTGTATTTGTCTCTTGCCTTCAGTCTCTCTCTCTTAGACTTCAGATTGGTCTGTGCTTACACTGTTTCCATTTGAAAATGCAGAAAACCCAAATGGTAGCATACATAGACAGCAGGACACTTATCGACTGTGTATCCAGAGGTCTGGATCTGGCGTGGTGAGGCAAATAGGAAGGCAGCGATCCTTGAGGGTTCCCACCCTTCTTCTCTGTCGTCTGTCTCTGTTAGCAACGGCTTGTTTCCCCGTTTCCTATTCACAATGCAGCCACCTAGGTCTGAGGAGTCAAGAGGCAGAGGTGAAAGGAGCCTCCTGCCTTAAAAATAATGATTTCTTTAAAACATTTTAAAGGAATTTATTTATCTTAGGGTTTCCTCTTAAAAACAAGATTTTATAAAAAAAAAAAAAAACATAGCTCAGCTCAGCTCAGAGTTTCTTTTTGCTGTGAGGAAACAGTGACCAAAAGCATCTAGGGAGGAAAGAGTTTGTTTGGCTTCCACATCGCCTTTCCTCGTCGGAGGAAATCATTTCACTTACATCAGTGAATGGATCTGGGGCAGGAACTCAAACAGGGCAGGACCCTGGAGACAGGCGCAGAGGCAGAGGGCACGAGGGGAGCTGCTTACTGGATTGTTCCTCATGACTTGCTCAGCCTGCTTTCTTAGAGAACACGGTGGAGCTACAGTTCCAGGTAGTTGTGATCCAGTGATCCACCTGCTATGAATGCAGAAAACTAAACTTGGGTCTCCTGGAAGACCAGTAAGCTCTCTCAACTAGTCTGCTATCCCATGTTCCTCTTGCTTTTTAATCAGGACGAATACTTCTTAGAAATTTCATCTTAACTCATCTTGGTCAGAAGTGGTTCCTCCACCCCAACTCCATAATATTTAACTGAACAGGAAAAGGGTGGCCAATAGTGACTTAGGCCAAATGAGATTCTTTCCTTGGGTGAGTACATGACCCACAAATGCATTTCTCAGGGTGACTGACAGAAGCTACCTGATTTGCCTGCCTGTGGTTGTTAAGACCAAATTGTTTTCTCTCAACCTTGAAGTCTCTAAACTTCCATCTATATTATGGCTCCAAGGGTTCTGCAATCCAGCAGGGATAGGGAAGTGGAGTGGAAACAGGAGTCTTAGTGTCCATACATGCATTTCCAACAAGACCAACCTCAGAGTTTCAATGATTGTTCTTGTCTACCAAACCAAGCACCATATCATACAAATCTATTCTTCAAAACCTATCTTCATATTCTTCCCATTTTCCACCTCCCTATAAATCTCACACACCTAAAGCCTTTACATGGTAGCAAAGTACTCTGGGTATCTCCTCATGAATTTTCTCTTGCTTCTCTCTTTTCTTCCTCTGTATAATATTCTTAACTCTTCTTTTTCCTTACTGTGCCCACTATAAACATGGAGGCTGGGGTTCAAGCTCTTGGCCAACATTTCTATCTAAGTCATAGATGCTTTTTTTTTTAAATTTCTAGTCACCTTTTTTTAAATGAATTTCTAGCATACCACATGCTCATTCCAATACCCCATCAAGGTTTTGCCCCCAGATAGAATTCTGACTTTGTTTTTTTCACACTACTTCAAACAAAGCAGTATTATTCAATAAGTAGACTAGGCCAATTGCCTAATTCTTCGGGATGACTAGACTTCACACACCAACCCCCAACTGTTTGACCCTGCCCAGTAAATTTAAGCTCATCTGCATAAGCTTGATGAAATAGTAACTTTCCATGCAACTGGCCTGCTTACAAGCGTACAGCGGCTACAGCAGGCCACTGCTGCATGTCTGTTGATTGCTCATTACATACAAAACGATCGGCCAAACTTGAAATAATCACAAGCCATCTCAGTACACACACGGGGGGTGGAATCCTGAAGACCACCTTTGGCATCGCTCAGGATTGCTGTGTGCCCTCCTGGAAGGAAAAGATTGCTCTTTTGCCATTTTAAATCTGGCTGATGCTTCTGGGAGTGGAATTATGGGTGTTTGTGAGCCCGCTGGGGATCAAAGTGTGGCAAGAACAGTATGTTCCCTTAGATGCCGAGCCTTCCTTTCAGGCCCCTTCCCACCTCCTCTGACACAAGGACTGCCACAGTCTGGAAGCTCCTCAAGGAGGCCGGCCTCCTCCTGCCTTAGTTTCACCAGTGCTGGCATTTGCATGAGTTTGGGGTTGACAGGACACAAGCCATGGTACCTGTAAAGCAAGCACTCTACCATGTGCTTGTGAAAGTGCCTCCTGAGTCTTAGTGACCATGGGTTAAAGAGGATGTAGGACATCCTACTCAGTGAGGCTGCGGTTGATGAAGGTGCCCATGACAGAGGTCAACAGAAGAATTCAGACTTCCTGAGCCTGTTTTTGGTCACCAGTCGTCGGGAGAGCATCCTCCTGAGGCTTTAAAGCCAAGGCCCACGAAGCTGGGCCTGACCTTCCTGGTGGTGATGTCTCAAGGACTGTGAAAACTGTGTCCACGTGGCCATGCTAGTGAACAATATTTCTTCCTCTTTCTCTTCTCCTTCCCATCCTCCTACCCCACTACATCCCCCCTCCTCCTTTTTCTTTCTGGTTTGTCATTTTCAGGAGCTCTGACCAACATAAGCCTGTTAGATCTCTATGCTCATTAGCCTAGGAAAGCCCAAGGAACTTAGTTAAACATGGATTCTCACAGAACTGGAAGGAGAAAGTGTCTAGCTTCTCCATTTGAGGGTTCTGAGAACTTGGAAGACAACGCTAAGGTTAGTGTGGTGAGAGTATTTGATGAGAGAAAATTAAGACACTATGCCCTTCCCAGTGTCTGGTTTCATGCAGTGCCTGAATCATCTGCTGGTTTACCTTTACATACTGAGACCCCCAAGCCTAGTGACTGAGGAATCAAGAGGAGAGAGAGAGAGAGAGAGAGAGAGAGAGAGAGAGAGAGAGAGAGAGAGAGAGAGAGAGAGAGAGAGAGAGAAAGTAAAGACCCATGGCTGTCTAATATGTGCACCCACTAAAGCAGCTAGCCACTGAGACAGGCATCTCTGCTATGCTCCCAGGTTTCTTTTCAGTCTTCCCAGGCTTTGTTAGTTCCACCGTGGGCAAGAGCAACAATTGGAAATATGATGTTCTTCATCTCCAGAAAAACAGAGCACAATCACAATTACTCGCCCCAAACACTTTGTCCTTTTATTGTGATTTATTTATGCCAGGAAAGGTAGCATTTCGGCTGGGTATGGAGACCTTAAAGAGACTGAGAAAATAGGGACCTTGCCTTTCTAATCTCTCCCCTCCTAGCTAGTGGCTCGCAATCCACTCCAGGTTTTGCGGCCGACTCTGCCTCTGAATTTCGGCGGTGCACTGGGTAGCACGTTTCTCTCTCTCTCTCTCTCTCTCCCACCCTCCCCTCCTTTCTCCTTCCCTCTTGCTTCCAGTGTCAGTCTCCAGGATTTTCTCTCTTCCTCTTTCGAGAAGACTCGCACAGGCTCCCCCAGTCCGTGTGAAGCCGAGGTTCCCCCCTGGATCCCGTACATCCCCATCACATACCTCCACGCGCACACCTCCCCGAAGAGCCCAGCGCTCACACCCACAAACACGCGCGCACACACTCGCGCCGGCCCGTCCATCTCCCTCCGGGGGCGGGGGGAGCCGGCGCGCGCGGTCCCACCTTCGTCGCACACGCTGGCCAGGCGGCGAGCTCGCCGCGCGCTCCACGACTCTGCGGCTCAGAACTCGGACCGCTGCTCTGAACGCCCCCACTGTGGTATTTAAAAAAAAAAAAGAAAGAAAAACAGAAAAAAGACATTTTTCTGCCTTCTCCCCTTCCCTCGCCTTTTCTCGCAAGGTTTTCTCCCCGAGAGGCGAGCGGAGCCGGCTGCATCCCCCAAGCCAGCCCTGGTTGGCTTGCCATCCTCCATCTGGCTTATAAAAGTTTGCTGAGCGCGGTCCAGAGGGCTGCGCGGCTCGTCCCCCTCGGCTGGCGGAAGGGGGTGACGCTGGGCAGCGGCTAAGGAGCGCGCCTCGGGCTCTGGCGGGCTTTCGGCTGGCCCCGGGGGCAAGGTGAAGAGCGAGCGAGCCAGCGAGCGAGCGGGCGAGCGCACGGGGAGCCCGGGGCTGCCGAGGTGGACTTGCATGTTGCACCATGCCTTCTTGGATCCGAGCTCTGATTCTCCCTCTCTCCGGGCTGCTCCTGTCCCTCCCGGCCGCGGCGGACGTGAAGGCTCGGAGCTGCAGCGAGGTCCGCCAGGCTTACGGTGCCAAGGGATTCAGCCTAGCGGACATCCCCTACCAGGAGATCGCAGGTAAGCGCGGCCGCCAGCTCCCGGGGGGAGACCCGCTGCAGCCCCGAGAGGCGACTGGGTCCCTTCCCCTGCCCCCCTGTTGCTCACTTGCTGCTCACTTTCCGCCGGGTGGCTCCTGGGGGAACCCCCGAGTCCCTGCCTCCGTGCACACGACCGGAGGCTCGCTCGGTCTCCTCGGCCAGGGGAAGGTGTGCGTGCCGGCCGCCTCATTGTGTGCACACGCGGGAGCAGCCTGGTCCCCTCCCTCGCTCCCCGCCGTCTGCTCCCGCGCCCCGCCTGCTACCTCGGTGGCTGGCCTAGACTGGGGAGAGCCGGGGAAGCTCGAGAGGAGGCGACCGAAGCCAGGCGCCCATCGCATGCCCCTCGCCGGGGCAAACTTGGAGAACTGCGGCCACAGTTCTCCCAGCGCCACCGTCTGAGTGGCGCCTTCTCCACTCCCGCCTTCGCGCCGGCGGGGGCGTTGGAGAGACGCGGAGCTTCTCTGACTCCAGCTCCGCTCTCCGGGTCCCTGCATCCCCGGGACCGAGAGCCGGGCTCCTGGGCTAGGGACCGGCCACTAAGTGGACGCCTTGCCGGGGTCCCCAGAATCTGCATGTGGGAGCCCCGGGGCTGTGGCGGGGGTTCGGGAGAGCACTTCGCAGCCTGGCTGCTTCGGATTTGGGATTTGGGGCGGGCTTTCCCGTTCGGCTGCTCCAGCGCTTTCCCGACTGCGGTTGGTCACTCGGGCCGAGGAGACAACCGGGGCCACCCGGCTCGGCCTCGCGCTAGCGCGCGCGGAACCAACTTGAGCGAGTGACCCGATGGGGGCGTTCGTCTCCCGGGTCTGCACTGGGCGCTCGGTGGCTCGCCGGATCGCAGGCATCCCTTCCTCCGGAGCCCCCACCCTCCTTCCCGGAGCTGGAGTGTGCGGCCCTTCGGGCTCCAGCCACTTGCGCTGCAGCCTGGGTGTGTGTTTTCCGGCTCTTAGCTCCAACCCAACCCCAGCTTCTTTGGGGGCTCCGTGAATGAAACATGTGTGTGTGTGTGTGGGGGGGGGCACAGAGAATCCTTTAGCTGAGAGGGAACTGAGCTGAAAGAGGCCAAGGGAAGACTGGAGATGATGTGAGGGCGCGGGCTGCTCAAACCGGGTAGCTGAGTGAGGTCCTAAGTGACCTCAGATCGCTGGATCGCCACCAGACTCTGCGTTTTGCCAAAGGACTGGCGGACTGATGGGAAACACTTGCAGTTATCTTAAAACGTCTTAGTTTTGGAATTACGATCTCTAAACTGTAGGAGTGAGGGTCTTTACTTATGTCGCAGTTAACACATTTCTATCAATTTGGGCACTGCCAAAAGGAAAATAAACCATGCTCGCGTATTACAAACAGCGCGGCGCTTTAAGTAGAAGGAGGTCCTTTCAGTTCCCAGCCAGGCGTTCAGTTCCCTGGGTCATGAAGGCTGGAGAAGCTGCAGTGAATTAAGAGACTGCTCCTCAGTCTCCGGGATTTCGCCCACCCCACGCCAGCACTCCCTAATTTGTTAATCAATGACTAGAAAGGGGCTGCGCCTGCGGCTGCTTAAGTTTCTGAACTCTCCTTTCCCTTTGTCTACTGCAATTTCATTCCTTTTAATTAATTGATAAAGATCAGCTTCACCTTTTTAACTCCTCAAATCTCAGGAAATTCAACTTTTAAAAGGTTTGGAATAGGGATCCCTTCTAGGAACTAGTTTTTCTCCTCTAATCTGGCCATTTTAAAACTGTATCTTTTAAACATACATATTTCCCAATATGATTTCAGATAAGAAAACAGCTAAGTATTTTAAAATTGCATCGGTATTCTTTAATAGTCGAGGAGCCTCCCAGGAGACTAGCATTGACTCTCAGCCCCATCCCGGGCCTGATTATCAGAGTGCATTGTAAATAATCTCTGTAGTCACCAGTTACTTTGCTGGGGAACATTCCCTGTGACTGACTGTGCACATGCTTCGCAAGTAGTCTAACTGCGAAGGGTTCAGGTTGTCGTATATTTTCTTTTGTCTTCTTTCCTACCGCCTTAAAAAAATCACAGACTGCTAATAGCTCTGAATTCTGAAAATACATCCATTTCGCCAAACTCACTTAAACCAAGTTTAGGACTTAAGTGAGTTTAACTGACCTTAAGGCCAGTGTCATCCAATGCTGGTTGACAGGATCAAGGTCCATGTTTTCCCCGGGGTCAAAGGAACATTAGATAGGAAAATAATGCACTGTAAGGTAACTGAAGCGCTTTTTTATTTGGGGGAGGGGAGCATGTTTTTTTTTTTTTTTTGGTTTGTTTATATGTTTTTTTTCAAAGTAAACTTTACACAGTGCTAAAGTAAATTGCATTTCCTATTGCTTTTGGAAGAATCACCATTAAATAAACACAGGCTTCCTCTCCTCCATAGCTCTTGGTAATATTTACATTTAATTATCTCGTATAGGTGCGGGGGCTGTCCTTTCTTTAAGTTCCTTTTCATCCTTTGCCTTACTTCCACATCAGGGCTTTGCTTGAGAAAGGGCCTGTGCTAGTCTGTCAGGAAACCCAAAAGAACCGCTGCTCTCCAGGCTGCAGATTCCAGTTTAGCATCATGTTTGCAAAGCAGCTCCCTCAGTGAAACAACAGGAAGCACTAAGGATACTGTATTTAATCTCAAGGTTTTTGAAGTTTTACTCCAAGCTCACAATGGTAAGACAATGTTGCCCTTTTCTCTTCCGGGCTAGAGAGATGCTCTTCAAGCTGTCAGAGGGGACTGGAGGTAATATATATATACTTCAGCTCTTAGGAAGTGAGTGCCATTGGAGGGGGAGTGTGCACCATCAATCTTTACTCAGCCTTGATTTTAAACCCGAGTCTGCAGGCAGATTAGATTCACTCTCCTTGTTGGAAAACCTCCAAAGGAGCCCACTCTGCAGCCCCTGTCAGAGATCCATTCTAATACTGGGGGATTCCTGTGGTACAGGGGTGTTTCCAGACCCTCACAGTGGCCTTGTTTGTTTCCCTTCTCCTGGGAGGATCCTAGGCTAAGAGCATCAGGAGCTCTTAAGGGAACTGCTGATCAAGGTTCATGCTTCCCTTCCCTCCTGGCTCAGTAATTACCCTTTCTGGCTGATGCTAAGCATCTCAAAGGGTTCCTGAGCAGCATGGCAGTGGTGGCGCACACCTTTAATCCCAGCACTCAGGAGGCAGAGGCAGGCGGATCTCTGTGAGTTCTAGGCCAGCCCGCTCTACAGAGCGAATTCCAGGACAGACTCCAAAGCTGTAGAGAAACCCTGTGTCAAAAGCAAACAAACGAAGGAGCAAAAAGATGTCAGCAGTTGCTTGGGTTCAGATGAGCTGTGGAGTGCTTGCCCGGAATACACAGGGCACTGTGTCTCTAGGAACATACACATTCACGTACACTCACACTCCAGTACAGGGTCGCTCTCTCTCTCTCTCTCTCTCTCTCTCTCTCTCTCTCTCTCTCTCTCTCTCTCTCTCTCTCTCTCTCTCTCTCTCTCTCTCTCTCTCTCTCTCTCTCGTAGGAACATACACATTCACGTACACTCACACTCCAGTACAGGGTCGCTCTCTCTCTCTCTCTCTCTCTCTCTCTCTCTCTCTCTCTCTCTCTCTCTCTCTCACACACACACACAGACTCATACCCATTCATGAGCTCATACCCACTCTGACCCCCTCCCTCCAACACAGTGAGACTTGTCAGAAAATGTTGCTTCAGGATTTCTTGTATTTTTATAATATCTCATATTTCAGAGTAACTTCTTAGCTTAATGGGGATTCCTCTTTTCTTATTTATCTAATGTAACTTTGTTTAGCACTTCATATATAGAAATTATGTGTCCAGCACCAGATGGCTCCCCTGGTTAAGTGCCGGCTGCCAGACCTAACAACCTGAGTTTGATGGCTGGGACCCCCCCAGGGGAAAGAGGAAACCAGTTGTCCCCTGACCTCCATATTTGGGCTATGGTTCTCAAATGCACACATAAATGTCGGTTCAAAAACAAAATAGTTATAAAAATAGTTCAAAAGGAAATATTGCTTACTCGGGTTTTCTACTAACTTAGACCATGGTGGATCTAGTCATATTTTATAGATAAAAAGACAACAGTAATGCGCCCAAGGATACTCAGCTAACAAGGGTTAAAAGGAAATTCAAACCCAGGAGTCCCAACAACCTCTAGTTTGGCCTATGGTCCTACAGAATTAAGCCCCCAGCATTTTGTTGAATTCACACATACAAGACCTGTTTTTTGCCCCTCTTGTATGTATGTCTTATGTGGTTGGCCAGCATATCCATTTATGTATGCCCACAAGTTGTGAATGCCGAATTTATATTGGGTTGCAACCTCCATCATTTCCAAAATCATTTTCCAGTTCATTTTGTTGTATCTGTCATGTTGTATAAAGTACATGCATTGGTCTCTTTCAGTGTACTGGGTCTGCTAGAGTATTAGCTTGGTCAAAAACATGTAATATTAGGTTAGCCCAAGAAAACTTATGATAGATCATTATCCAGAGAATAGAAGCTAGAATCAATTTCACAGCATAAGACAAAAGTTTAAAACCAACTGTCTTTTGATATGTGTTTTACCCTCCTTTCTCTCTCAGATATGTTGAGAGTTGGGGTATAGTTGGATATTAAGAAACCATTAAATTGTTGGGTGGCGGTGGTATACACTTTTAACCAGCGTGGTCTACAGAGTGAGTTACAGGACAGTCTCAAAAATAATAAAAAATGAATGAAATAAAGAAAGTATGAAACTATCTCCATGTACTGATGTCAGTTTGTCAGATATTTACATCAATATCTACTTTGAAAATAGGACTTTTTTCATATTCTGCTAGAGTTGTTGTGTTTCTAGTCCATATTCTGTCCTTAAATACATATGGATGTGCAAATATATATACATATATACATATATATACACACATATATATCACATATCACACACACACACACATATATATATATATATATATCACATATATAGGCTTGGCTTT